ATAATGATAATAATGGCAAACATTCATATATATGGGGGATTTAAATATTTAGCTAATTGCTGCATTTGCAGTCTCGACATCCAAGTCTATGTCCTTTATGTTCCTAAGTACTCTTCTTGTAGTTCTTGAGCCCCTCAGGCATAAGAGAGCTGATCTCAAAAGGGATAATAATAGTAATAATAATAATGATAATAATAATAATATTAATAATAATATCGCCAAAAAAGTCATGTCAGTGTTGCCTGGAAGCGTGAGTTGGCGGGATTGGTATTCCCTCCAATATTTAAACAGTGCTCCACGTTGCTAAGAAACAAGACGATAGACCAATTATGTAGCCGAGAGGGACCAACGGATACAAACGGTTTCCCCTAGGTACCACCCTCCTAAAAAGATCAGTGCATCTTATAAAGAAGAGTACGGGACAACCGTAACGCGCGCCTCTTGACTTTCTCATCGTGCTGAACTGCTGATAAGTTTTGAGCGATTATAAAGATGGATTTTTATAGCTTGAAAGCTGTTCTTGTAGTCTTCTGTTTGACTGTATGTGTTGAGTTCGCTCACCCGTCCATCCAAACCGGTAAGTGAATCAATTTAATGTCCGACGCCATAGYAGACTTTTTCATATCATAATAGTTTGTCTTGAGGAAAGCTTGCATTTGAACCTAAATTTGAGTTTTCTGAATATCATAAGACAGCGATCAGCCTGAGCTGAAACGATGAATAAACACTTATTTTCCTTTCGATTTTAACTCTTAACCGCTATGATATTCTCGAGTAATTACGTTAAAAGAGCGCCATTCGAGTGTATCTTTCCAATTTCTCGATTCTGAAAAGTATTATTGAATGAAAAAATGTTTCAAAAAGAAATTTGTTCGTATCGTTTAGTGATTCATTTTTTAAGAAAAACAAACGAAAAGCATTGGAACATAATGAATGGAAATAAACTGGAAAAGATATCGCGCCCAAATAACCGTTGCGTGAAATCAATATTCAAATTGAGTTGAACAAATATATTGGGCTGCTTTTCGACTCCAGCTGGTGTTTAGTGACCCAGTAACGCAACCTTGAAAGGTGTGGAAAACACTTTGGAAAAAGAACCTGTTCTATTAGGGTATGTCAATGTGGTTGATTCTCCTCTCTCCAATCTTTATTTTCAAAAYTTTCGAGATGTAATTATTTGAAACACTACGGAATCAATGTCATGAACGTTGTCCACCAAAAAAGGCACGATTTACACCAAAATAATGTCACGTAATACCTAATGCACTCATTCTTAAAACCTCCAGTTCTCTACAGAATCGAAGTAGTAACGAGTGACGAGTGGGGAGCTGGGACAGACGCTAATGTGCATATCAAGATATATGGTAGYCTTGGAAACACAGACTCAATCAAATTGACTAAGGGTGGCAACCTATTTGAAAAAGGAGCGTGAGTATAATTGAATTTGTTTTGTAAATTTTGTAAATTAAGACTGTCTGCAAAGTTTTAACGAGACAATGAATATGTCACACCACTTGCGCGGTCACGGCACGGTACCGAAGATCGATGGGACAGACCGCATTTTGAATGATTACAAAATATGTCACGCATGGCTATGAAATATGTCACACGACGTACACGGTTACGGTACTGATGATCGATTACTGGACAGGCCGCATCTTGAAGTACTATGAAATATGTCACACATGATTATGAAATATGACACACCACATGCGTACGGTCACGGTACTGAACATCGGTTAGAATGCAGACTGCGTTTTGAATGACTACCAAACATRTCAAACATGACTATGAATTATGTCACGAACGACTATGAAATTTAWTACGTGCACGGTCACGGTACGGTACGGTGCTAACGATCAAGTACCACACGGTGCACAAAATTAATTACCCCTCATGGCATGCATCGCATCCATGGCCATACATTACATGGATGTTATATTCAAACGAGGTAAGATCCATTTCCTTACTTACAGACCAATCACACTTATTTTACTTATAGGCACGATGAGTTCGTATTCGTTGCCAAGTATGTCGGCAACCCTATCACCAAAGTCGAAGTGATGAGAGACACCAAGGGACTTTTTGATGACTGGAAACTTGACAAGGTAATGACCTGATTTCAGGCTACCACCATGTACAGTTAATAGAGCGTTTTCAACTCAAATGATAAGGCAGGCATATTGGTGTACCAAACAATAGAAACTTTCTGCATAGTTGTTGCATAAAAAACTGTGCAGAAAGTTTCTATTGTTTGATACATGGTTTCTATTGTTTGGTAAATGAAATAACTGCAAAGTAAAGAGAGAAATACACATTAAAAAATGTATTATTTAAAACAATTATAGATTCTCGTCAAAAGTAATGCACCTATAGTGTACAAGTTTGCCTTCAATGCATGGATTCCTCCGAACAAATGGATCAAAAGTTATGGTAAGCATACAGTAGGTTTTATTTCGTTTTGAACCTTGACACAGTCGCTTACACCCCTCTCTCAGTTGCAAAAACAAGTATATTCTGCAAGGGGGAGGTTAAGAGCGACTGCGCATAGGCCATGTGCTAAGAATGTGATAATTTTTATTATTCAACGCTCCTAAGCAGTACTTGGGTAGCCTAGACACAGCCAAGTAACACTATGCTTCAGCTTCTTGTTAACAGGTGCACTAGACAGGATATATTTACTTGATTAAAATATATTTATTTTAGACAAATTTATCTTAGACAAATTTATTTTAGAAAAATTTATCTTAGAAAAATTTATCTTAAAAAGAAATCCTGGGAAACGTCGTCCCATTTTAAGGCCTATGTGGATTGTGCTTCCTTGGTTAGAACTCTTAAGCAATTGACAGCTCCTAATAAAACTTATACATTTTTACACTATCTTGTTCATGYTTTTTTTCCTTTTTTTAGGAGGAAAGTAGACCATCCCTGTACCAGATGTACATCTTAGAAATATAGTTTAAAAATTTAAAACATAAATGATTAGCATTAAATGTAAAGGGGATTCACCACGTAATAAATTATGTAAGCTACTGAGAGGTTCAAGAACTTTAATCCGTTCCTTTCCTAGAGTGGGGTCCTTGTGTTTATAGAAAGCCTAAGCAAAGCCTAGTTATGTTAGGCTGCTCGAAATTGCCCATCTTCTTTATGGTRGCATGGGCACGTATTGGTTTACCACTAACCTCTCACTACTAGCTGTGGTTCAAGGTCGAGTCCCAGCTCATAGTACTGAGATTGATAACTATGTTTAGTGTTTTCATAAGATTGGGATCCCTGTGTCTATACCAAGCCCAGTTGAAATTTCTTTGCTGGTGTTGTTCTTCCTAAATATCATGTGATTGAGTGTTTTTATGTGATTGGGATCCCTGTGTCTATACCAAGCCCAGTTGATGATGTTGTTCTCTACCATCATGGAACAAATACAGGAATATTCCCATCTGCAACAAAGCTATCCAAGCAAGCATGGTGTCCAGGTTTCTTGCATTTCTGAAAMGTACCRCTCACGTAAGAACTATAACTATTTTGCATATTTGGTGTGACAGACCATGACTGCGCATGCTTGAGAATTTCTTTTCCATATCGATTTCTCGCAAACATACCCGGACTAAAAACTGTATTGATCCAATAACCCCTGTGTCGTGTTTCGGGCTCGCTTTAATTGTGTCTTGTCTCAGTACATATGAATATGCATGAACCTATTCCCCCTAATTAACATACATCACACCCTGACTTTTGCTTTGGTGATACTGTTAGATTTCTGTAAATCAGATGGAAGAAACTGGGGRCAGGTTAAGAATGATATTCCATAAAGTTCAAAAGATATTTCAGCATCTCTGACAATAGCTACTCCCCCAGTCATTAATTTTGTCTTTGGGTCATAATATGGAGGTTGAAAATTAGTTATGCTATAACCATATTTCTTAAAATGTTCAATTGTCTCTCTTTCACCAAATGTTTTCATATCTGAAGAGAGAACAGCTAGATCTCCATCTATATCCCAAGGAAGAAATCCATCATATTTGACAGTTCCTAAAACTGAGCCACAGTCGAGTTCAAATGAAATATTATGCTTGTCAGAAAATGTCTGTATRAATCGCATAAGTTCAGCATATCGTTCCTGGCAGCACACCGGTAATAAAAAAGACCTTGATAAATCCCTGGTGCATTTTATGTCAATGTCTTKACATGAGAAGGAGTGTTTTACACCAACCGGAAGCAACACTCGATTCAGTTCCCACTTCCTGGCTAATTCCATCCATACATTTCTGTCTTTTTGTTTCGCAAATGTAGAATAATCTGTTGTAAAGTACATAGCATCTGGACAGCCCATCAAAAGGTGGCCACTTTTAATTAATCCAA